GAGCGAGCAGCTGGCGCTGCTGCTGCTGCGCCTGCAGGACGACATGCAGGGCGTGCTGCAGCGCCTGCACGCGCTGGAGGCGGCCGCCGCGCAGGTGAGCCCCGCGCGCGCCCGCGAGGAGCCCGGCTGCAGCCGCCTGCTCTCCTAGCGCGGAGGGCGCTTCCTAAAGTCCTTCCTTTTCCAAAGGAAAGCTTTGCACGCAGCTAGCAGTGCCTACCCACAGGAGCGCCACGCAGGCCTCTTGTGCGGGCTGGTAGGAGCTTGCATTTTGACCTAGAAGTTAACCATGTTGCTCTGCTGATTTCTCGTGGCAGACTGATCGCTGTCATACTCAGGGGTACCCGTTACACAGTCACCATACAGACAGTCCATAGTCATGGTTAGTAATACCTAGTTCCATATAATGCCTGTTCAGCAGGAAACCTTTTCAAAGGCATTAAGAAATTGCCTTGACTTTCCACACTAGTAAATGTTTGTAGGCAGAACTCCTGAGCCCGTCATCTGCTTCATTCTTCCTAACACTTTCTCCCCCTGAGTAATCCAGTTTTCTTGGAATCTCACCTCGTGTGCAGGATAGACAAAAGAAGTTTAAGCAAGCATTAGTTTTTATTGAAACAGTTGAAACAGTTTCTTTCTGTTTCAGTGAAAATACCAATGGGCTCCGTGGTATGGTTGAGAGAATAACATGTGAATATAGTTGATCCAGCAAATGGTTCTAAAAATATTTCTGTTTGCTTGGCTGTAGAGATAGGTTTTGATCTCCTCGAGGACAGTACCCTATGGGCTGCAGATCTCAGGCAGAAAAGGAAGGAGATTTATTAAAGCTGTCATTTTGCTTCATCATACCTATTCAAGAATTAAAGATTTGTTTTTTTTTTTTTTTTGTTCCAACTTATATGTGAAGTATTAAAAGATCTCTTCCCAGCAGTTTGTGTTACATCCTTATCTGAGGAGAAGCAGGATCAGGAAGCCTCTAGCTTAAACTGACATTGATTAAGAAAGACCATGGGAGCGGATGGCTTTGCTTCTGTGGAACTACCATGTGCATGGGAGCAGTGATGAGGAGTTTCCCCCACTTCTGGTTCTGTGGAGCTGCCAGGAAGATGCAGGATGTGGTCTCTTTCCTTCATGCTGTTACACACCTACAGCTGTAGCCAAAGTCACACTAAAACGATGCTTTTTACTAACATATAGCCCAGTGTAAAGCCTATGCGGGCACACATGGCCATCGGTATTTCTACTGTGCCTTGCAGCTGGTGGGAACTGGAGGAGGCTGAGATGACAACCAGGGCAGGGAAGCCCTCCTTGAGAGAGTGTCCAGGCCCGGAAAGTGACTTGTAATCTTGTTGTTTGTTGGTTTGAACATGTCGAAATGTGATAAAGATGTTACAAAGAGCAATGGAAACATGGGAGGCAAGCTGGAAACGAGGTGGGGAAAGGTGGGTTACCGGGAGAGTCTTCAGCCAAGTCAGGGGAAGCTTCTGTATCTGGCTGGGCTGATGGGCAGGAGGTGTCTCCCGTTGTCCCAGACTGCACAGCCCTTGCACGGGGAAGGACTTCATTTTCTCATATTGTGAATCAAAAAATATTTGAATTGTGATTTCCTTTTTTGATACTTAACAGCCTTGTTTTTCGTTATAGGCAAGGTCTGCATCCTTACCATCAAACCAGTCCTCTGGCAAGGTAAAATACTGTTTTTAATCTTTTGTTACAAAGTAGCGTGGACAGATGTGAAGATGTAAAATGTATCTGAAGAAATTACTAGACAAGTGAATCTTGTAATTTCCAGTTTCTCTTTGTGTTCTACTTACTGATATTTTCTACTTTGATACTTTTAGCATTTGAAGAGTTCACGAATGACGTGTACTATTCGGTATGACGGGTGCAACATTCAGTGTGACTGCACAGGCTGCTTACTAGAATTTCTTCTCTTTTCCTTAGAAGCCATCGTGGTGGCCCTTCGAAATTTCCCCTGGTGTTTTAGCTTTTGCTGTTGTATGGCCCTTTATTGCCCAGTGGCTGGTGCACGTATATCTTCAAAGAAAGAGAAGGTAAGGACTTGCTCTTGGTAGGGCCTGTATTTTGCTTTTTGTCTGTTGAAACAAACATGAAATATTCTCTGTTGTTTAGAGAGACAGGGCATAACCAAATGCAAGTGTATACACTCAAGATGGCTTTCACATATATCTGAAACTTCAGGTCAGTATCAAAATGAGGAGCTTAATCATCATTGCTTTTGATATATCTGATTTCCTTGAGGTCTTTATTTCAGAATGCGTCTTATTTAACATTCCCTTTTATGCCTCATGGCTAATAACTCTGAAGATATCAGGCTATTAAAGCAAATTATGTAGCACAGCCCTTGGTATGGCCATGATGTGAATGTTTCAGATGTGTGTTTCAGTCACACAAAAAACTAAGAAATACTCAGCAGAAAGGAGTGTGCTTGCCCTTAGTTTGTAATTGCAGGAAGAGACATGGATGCTTGTTCTGCTCTTGGAAAATTCCTCAGTGTAAAAACCGTGCTTCTGAATTTGTCTGTACGTGGCAGGCTCAGTAAAGGCTGCTAAGGTTAAATCCATCAAGTGTGATACAAATAAATCATTTCAGCAGGCAGCTTCAAGCCCTCAGGTCGGATAGCTTGAAGGGGTCTCCTTGGCATTCTTGGAGCCTCTCACTCCCAGTGTCGTCCTGAGCCATTTTCATATCATTCATAGCAGATATCATTCCTATTTAAACTTCCTATTTAAACTTCCTATTTAAACTTCCTATTTAAACTT